TCGGAGTTCTGCGCAGCTTTGGATGATACGGCCTATGTCATAACCAGGCATGGGAAGGAGATAATAGAAAACGGTAGCAAATGAGCAAATACTTAAGTAATTATAGATGCCGGCACGTTGAACGATTTACTTATATAGACCTCGTGTCCGAGTGCCCAGCCAGACGAAGTGTTTCAACTGTCAAAAGCACCGTCGCGCCAGACCACACATACCTCTCGCTTGAATAACGCCGCGCATCGTACTTCTCGTTTGAGCAGCGTGGAACACAAGGATTTATTCCTTTTCCGCCGTAGTTTCGTGTTTCATGGCGTATTGTTGAATTTGTTGAAGAAAGAAGCACGAAAACCGATTTACAGATACAAAATTATTAACGCTAGTCTGGTACCTGTCGACGCGCGAGTGTGGATCCTCAGTTACAAATTAGACAGTTTATTTGATCTGTCAGAATGGTAAAAAAATAGTGAGAAAAAAAGAAAGGTGAACAATATATCACACTGTTCAATATACCGGTATATCTGCCAACAATCAACTATCTGTATATTTTGTCTGATATGATATCTTAAAAATATATATAAAGAAATCAGTTATCGTAAAACAATACGTTTTTTATGGTACCTTTGGATCTTATAGAAAATGAAAAAAATATCTTTAAGGGATAACTAAAAAAATAACTATGTCTTTATGGGCATTTGATTGCTATTGATTTTATTGCTTAGCACTATTTTGATGTCTGTGGCTTTATATTGATTCATTAATATAGTCTATACACACGCACACACACTCACACACACACTCACACACACATATATAATATATATATATACATATACATATGCATATATATATATATATATATATATATATATATATAATATATATATATATATATATATATATATATATATAATATGTATATATATATATATATATTGTATATATATATATGTATGTATATGTATATGTATATATATGTATGTAGTATGTATGTATATGCATATACATATACATATAAATATATACACATATATACCTGGCTGAGTCGAAGAAGAGGAGGTCACTTTTATGCTGAAATTTCAGTTTGCATCTCTCTGTCCACTTATCTACCCTTCTATCCATCTCTTTACCTTCGTTCGAATCATCCACTTTTTTATGCAAATGGAGATGAGAGAGATAGAAATCCGTATATATATATATATATATATATATATATATATATATATATATATATATATATGTATATATATATTATTGGAAATGATAATCTGAGAATGACTGAATCATCCCCATTTGTATCCATCTCATTCTTTTTGGTGAGAAGATGAAGTTGAAAACAAATCGTAAACGAGTATTTCTTTCCGTTAAAATTCGTCTGCCATTGAAATGCTTAGTTCATGATCACATCAGAAACAATCTTATATTCCAAATTACCTGACCAGTTTTTAATGCAAACGTATTGCTTATTCAAGACATTTTTTCTATTCTTATTCTTTACGGTTTATATCTCATACATCAATAAGTATGTTAACTGGAAACTGAAACTCTTGGCTGTTGTTAAGGTGTTTTAATGTAAGAATCTGAATGTGTGCATGTGGATCGGTGGGTGTGTTTCAGTTCTTAGTCATTACGTTATCACATGCAAAGGATATTTTTTCTTTCTTTCTTTCTTTTTGCAAGATATGTATAAATCCCTTTCGTCCTGATGTTGCAACAGTCACACATAACCCCACACCCACACCTCAACACAGACAGCATAAGTAACATAACCTACATAAAAAAGTATTTTTACAAAGGTTTGCCCCAAAGCTAAAATAGAATTAGAGTAAAATCAATCAAAATGTCATCATTCCCTGTATTCTACTGGCTTGGCTTCGTTCCCCATCTGCATCTCTCTATCCACTTACCTACTCTTCTGTCTTTCTACTCTTTCTTGTCTCTTTCTCTGATGTTCAATGTGAAGGAGTATGAAGTAAATGGAGCGTTTGATTCTGTGATTTTTAGATTTGCTTGGTTGCCTGTTAGTGATTATAAGCGTGTTTACAATTTGCTGTTATTCCTCTTATATAAATATGGCTCTATTAATGGCATGAGAAGCAAAGGAATGGGAAGAAAAGGGGAAGAACACGTGATGTAGTAAAAGAGGAATAAAAAAACAAGATGGAACAGGAAAGGAAAGAGAAAACAAAGAGGAGGAAATGATAAAAGGAGAAATGTATAATCTAATGATCTTATTCTTTTTATCCGAAAACTATTCTGAAGATTCTACACATATTTTACGTTAGACAGTTTATTTTCATACACCGTATATGATGGTTCCTTTGGTTTCATTTAATATTTCATTTCATAGAACTTTTATTCTTCATTTTATAAACGTAACTTTAAAATGTCTTTCAGTGATTCTAATAAGAATATTTCAGTCATTATAGAAAACATTTTCATGTGGTCTTGGCAATAAAGAAGTAAGTGATTTAGTTCCGTATGCGTGAGAAAAGGTGGTTCTCTATGCTTATTTATCTATTTTTCGTGCTCGTCTTTAGTGTATATTATGTCTGTCTTGTGTTTTACTGCGCTCGTGTTTCTTTGTATGTTTGCATTTGTAAAATAAGTTAATTTTACAATACAAATCCCCGATACTTTGTAAGAAAGAAGGCTGAACCAAACCTAAAATCATTTTAGTTTCAAATCTTAAAGGGCAAACAGTCAAATATCCTATTGTATAGATGAAGCCTCCCTCCCTTCGGCTCACTTGCACAACTACACTTCACGCCCACATACACTGCTGTCGCTCCTTTCCACTATTCTTCTGACACCGCAATCCCTCCTACATCATACACTCCAATCGGGTGGTGGCAGTGAGATATCTACACCCTTTAATGAGCCAGTGTTTTAATTGGCAAACACAAAATAATAACTACTCATATGCAATACATTCTAAGCAGTATTTTCAAACGTTACAAATTATAGTGCAATAGTCATTAGGTTTGTAATTGATATTAAAGCCCAGCGGATATGACCTGCATGGATTGATCTGTGTGTAGTCCTTATCACCACTACCCCTCTCTCTTTCTCTCTCCCTCTCTCTCTACCGCAAAAAATACGAAAGATAAAGCATGAAAAAAGCCTGTGAGCCCGAACGGTTGGCGGATAGTGTAATATCTGAACAATAGATGGCGTTCTGGACGCGATGTATCGTCTGTTTGTTTGCATCACGAAATGTCACTGACAAAAGAGAATTTTTTTTTTTTTTTTTTTTTTTTGTTTTTAGATGTTTGTTTGTTTTTGCATGTTTTATGCTTCCTGTTAACTGTAGGCCTGCTTTCATTAATACTTTCGTTGATGATGACTTGAAATCAAATAAAGAAATGTTTTACATAAATGTATTTTTTTATCCTTGATTAAATGACACAACAGAAATGAATGAAAAACATGAGGAATTTATTAATGCCGAATGATTGTAGAGTTTATTTGATCGACTTATTGATTTATTAAACTGTAGTTTATTGAATCTAAGTTCATATTCATTTTCTGCAATAGAATTATTTAGTACTTTAACAATGGAATAATCTTATGATGTCATGAAAATATGCATACATAAGATGATTATTAATAAACTGCGAAACCTCATTTTAATGTACATAAAGAAATCTCTAATAAGAAAAAAAGTTATTAAAGAATATAATAATTACATAATTTCATGTAAATTTATATATATAAAGTAATCCTTTGACATATATTTCAAGTCCCTTATTTTAAAAAAGACATTGCAAAACTTCAACTGAAACTGAACCAAAGACTATATATTTCGTATATATTCTTTGACCTTGAGATTGCCATCGGTAGTGTCACGCTTTCTGTTTGAATATTCATTTACTCCGCCCCTATGACACCTATGCATGCAGTCTAATTTTCTTTACAAGCTATTTTTTTCTCCTTAGGTTTTACAATGTGCCTTAATCGTTCAATTATATATTCGTTATTTTATTTTTTTTACTATTATTCTTTTTTTTACGTATCGAATCAATTTTTATATTAATCTATAAGACTCCAACCGATATAAAATGTTAATGAATTCTACTGTCTTATGACTTTTTTGTAGTGCAACGGTTAGCACGATGGTCTTTAATATCATAGATCCAGGTTCGATTCCCGTGGAGACTTCATACATTGTTTTTTTTTTGTGTTCTCTTTTAAGTATAAACAAGAATTGCAATATATAACGAAAGCAGGATCAACAGCGAGGGAGAGGAGAGGGAGAGGAGAGGGAGACAGAGAGACAGAGAGGGAGAGGAGAGGGAGACAGAGACAGAGAGGGAGAGGAGAGGGAGACAGAGAAAAAGAGGAGAGGGAGGAGGGAGACAGAGAGAAAGAGGGAGAGGAGAGGGAGACAGAGAGAATGAGGAGAGGAGAGGGAAAAGAGAGAGAGAGGAGAGGGAGACAGAGAGAGAGAGGAGAGGAGAGACAGAGAGAAGAGAGGGGAGGAGGGAGACAGAAGAGAGAAGAGAGAAGGGAGAGGGAGGGAGACGGAGAGAGAGACAGAGAGAGGAGGGAGAGGAGAGGAGAGGAGAGGGAGACACAGAGAGAGAGGGGAGAGAGAGAGGGAGACAGCAGAGAGAACGAGAGGGAGAGAGCAGAACAGAGAGAGAGAGAGGAGAGGAGAGAGAGAGAGAGAGAGAGGGAGAGGGAGAGGAGAGTAGAGAGAGAGAGGAGAGAGAGGGAGAGGAGAGGGAGACAGAGAGAGAGAGAGGGAGAAGAGGGAGACAGAGAGAGAGAGGGAGAGGGAGACAGACAGAGAAGAAGGGAGAAGAGAGGAGAGAGGAGAGTGAGAGAGAGATGAGAGGGGAGAGGAGGGAAATACGGAGATAGATAGATATGATGGATGAGAGGAGAGAGAGAGAGAGAGAGAGAGAGAGAGAGAGAGAGAGAGAGAGAGAGAGAGAGAGAGAGAGAGAGAGAGAGAGAGAGAGATTGCAAACTAAAATGAAAAATATACTAAATTATAAATTTGTCTCCAACGGGATTCGAACCCGGGCCTGTCGCGTAGGAGGCGACCGTGCTCTCCACTACACCATAGAGGCTAACGTTTACTTGCAAGAGAAATTTGAATCTATTTTTGAGATAGCTTCAGGCAAAGCCACATCAGGTGATGATAGATGGAAAGAAAGAGGAAGATAAGGGAAAAGAAAGACGCGAAGGATAAAGACGAAAATGGCAATAACGCCAATAATCGCAATAACAGTGGTAAGGGCGATTCGAAGAAATGAGGCAAATAAACACAATGATATTAAAGATCAGTAATAGCCCTTGTAAAATGGGAATAGGGGTAAATGCGACTCTATCAATACCAGCAATTGTGATGACAGTATTAGTGATGATCTGAGTTATGAGAAGATTCACCGTTGCATTCATTTGAAATAGCTATCTTTCTCTATTTCAAAACTCGGACAGACAGGTTCATGATAGAAAATGATGGTTGTAATAAAAAGTTGCCAATTACCTCCTTTTGTGTTCATTTTCAACTTGTATCAAAATCTCTTTCTTCGTCGCTCTCTCTCTCTCTGTCTATCTCTATCCATCCATCTATCCCTCTATCTATCTGTCTATCCATCTATCTGTTTATCCATATATCTGTCCGTCTATTTGACTGTTTATCTGTATATACATCTAATTATCTATCCGTCTGTTTATCTATGTATATATTATCTATCTATGCATTTTCCTATCTGTTGATGTATCTATCTATTCATCTATCAATTTATTTGTCTGTCTATCTATGTATCTATCTTTTTATCTGTATACCTATTTATATTTTCATCTATTATCTTACTATTATTTATCTATTATCTATATATTATCTTTTCATCTGTTATCTATCCATCATCCATTCATCTATCATTTATATCTTTTATTTATCTATCCATTGATATATCTATCAATATATCCATCTATCTACCTATTCATCTATTCTATCACTCATTGCCTTTCCATCCTGACATGACCAATACGCGAGGCACCTATCTATCTGTCTATCTATCTGGTCCTTTATCTATCTGTGTCTATCTCCCCTCGGTCCTCTCCTCGCCACTTAGCCAAAAGACGCGGAATCTTAGAAAAAAAGGATATTTTCAGAACTTGATTGCATGAATAGGCCTACATTTTTCATAGAAATACAAATTAAGAAATTTAAATTTCTGTTTCTGCTTCATTATTTTCGTTCGGATTCGCCCATGTCTATCGCTAATTCAAGTGAAGACACATCAAAATTAATGGAATATTAAATCAATATAATAATGGTACTAACTGGTTCTAATTAGACGTAATTTTGTTCACAGCTCTTTTATTCCCAAAAATATAAAAGAAAAAAATATCAATATTTACTGATAAATAATTAGGGTGAGGGTTAGAGGAATCCAGTGATACCAACATCGTCGCGATCGGGTTTGCGAAGGTATTCTGTGAAATTAGGGTAAATTTCTGCCATAGTTGGCCACGCGTAACTGTTCTGAATATTAACCCAGACATGCACAGATCTCTATATACGGGCATCTGGACACACGCAAAAACTGACAGACAGATACTTGTATTCCATTAAAATTTGCAAATTACATGAGCAAATTTTCCAAATAGGAAATAAACATGCTGTATTCAAATTCCCAGTTAATTAACGTTTGACACCATGTACAATAGTGAAAGGCAAGTATTCCATACCATTACCGATGCGGAGTTATCCTGAACAAATGTAAAATTTCAGTATCGTTTCCCGCGTGTCATGAGGGCAATTTAGAGACAGTCCTTACGAGGGCGGGGCACCCAAGCCCTGATTTTATCATTATTGGGTATTTTAAAGGAGCCAAGAACAGAGTGGATATGGCGAGGTTGATAATTTCATCTAATTCGATGGGGCTGAAGTATGACTTTGATTATAGGCGTATAATAACACATCACATAAGAATATTTACTATTTCTCTTATTTTCCAGTTTCTACTAATTTTAGAGAAAGAGAGAGAGAGGCATAACACATGAATTCACTCATATAATATGTAGCATAACCTACAAAAACACTATGCAGATCTAATACAAAAAAGTATTAATACGTTGTCCACACGGTATGATGGTTAGCACGGTCGCGTTTAAAGCGACATCCGGGTTTCCAAGATTTTAATTAACGAATTTGTTTAATATCTAAATTTGCTTACAGATTCATCAACATTTCAATTTTCTCTCTGGTTGCTTATTTACCTTTATCCTCTTGAAAGTGCATATATATATATATATACATATATATATATATATATATATATATATATATATTATAATATATTATATATATAATATATACATACATACGTATACATACATATATATATATATATATATATATTATATATATATATATATATATATATATATATATATTGTTTTGTTTTGATCTGTTTACGTTCATATGTGTGTATATGTTAAAAAAAGAAAGGAGAGAGTTCAAAAGCAAATTTGCCACGAAAAATATTCATCCCACAAAATTTGAATTACGAAAAATTACTTTTCTTTCCCTCTCCACCCCTCCCCTTTTTTCACACTTTCTATATCTTAGTAACGCCTCTCTCTCCTTCCCCTCTCTTTCTCCTTTTCTTTCCTCCTCTCTCTCATTCTCTTTAGCAGCTATGGCTATTTTTACTGGCAACATTATTGCTATCATCACAATCAATATCATGTTCACTTGTGTGTGTGTGTGTGTGTGTGTGTGTGTGTGTGTGTGTGTGTGTGTGTGTGTGTGTGTGTGTGTGTGTGTGTGTGTGTGTGTGTGTGTGTTGTGTGTGTGTGTGTGTGGTGTGTGTGTGTGTGTGTGTGTGTGTGTGTGTGTGTGTGTGTGTGTGTGTGTGTGTGTGTGTGTGTGTGTGTGTGTCTGTGTGTGTGTGTGTGTGTGTGTGTACATACGTGAATGGCAAAAGACACACACACTCTCTCTCTATCTATCTAACTCTACTTACGTATCTAATTTTCTTTGTCCGTATATAAATCTCTCTGTCTCTCTCCCTCCATTTATCTCTCCTGATCTTCTTATATCTATCTGGTACATAGAAAGATAGATAGATAGATAGTGCTATAGATAGACGGGAAGACAGATAGATAAACAGATAACAGACAGATAGATAGAAAAAAATATATGATATATAGTAATTAATATGATAATAATAATATTAATAATAGAAATAACAATAGTAATAACAATAATAACAATAATATTAAAAATGATGATGATGATAATAATAATAATAATAATAATAATAATAATAATAAATAATGATAATAATATATAATAATACAATAGTAATAATGAATAATAATAATAATTAATAATAATAATAATAATAATAATAATAAATAATAATAATAATATAATAATAATAATAATAATAATAATAATAATAATAATATAAATAATAATAATAATAATAATAATAATAATAATAATAATAATAATATTAATATAAAGAAATAATAATAATGATAATAATAATAATAATAATAATAATAATAATAATAATAATAATAATAATAATAATGATGATGATAATAATATTACTAATTATAACAATAATGATAATGATATTAATAACAGAAATAATAGTAATAATAATTAATAATGATAATATAATATATGATAATAATAATGATAATGATAATAATAATAATAATAATGGTAATAGTAATAATAATAATGATAATAGTGATAATAATAGAAATGATAATAATAAAATAGCATTAATGCTAATAATAATAATGATGCTGATACTAATCATAATACAAAAAGAAGAGAAAAGAAATATGAGAACATATATATGATTCAAATCAATCGAATAAACAGAACATTATATATATATATATATATATATATATATATATATATATTATATATATATATATATACATATATATATATATATATATATATATATATATATATATATATATACATATACATATATATAAAACATTACAAAAGCATTTGGAATATGAAATGCATCATCATTTCCGCGCATTGGTGTTTGTGATCAGTTAAAACCGCAGACCCGGGTACGATTCCCGGAGGACACGATGTCTATATGTATTTTCTTTTATTCTTTTCGTGTTTTTTCCTTCGCTTACACACAAGGCTTGCAATAAGGAATGCAAGCTCAAAACAAGTGGAATAGCGATCGCTTGCACTGCAACACGATGACTTGCAGATTGTAAGGTCCGGGAAATTAGAATCTAAGAGGTGAATGAGGTGAATGAGGTGAACAACGTGGTGTTAGATTTGCACGGAAACACACTTCATAGTGATGAGAAAATACTAAAATCGAATCCGTTTCCAGTATCTTCATCTCATGATATTTATCTTCTCTTAGGATATGTAAAGACCCTTCAATGACTCGCTTCTTTCTCCCTTGAAATGGTAGTGATGATAATGATGATATGAGAGGAATGCAGTTTTAGAGAAATTTATGCAACCTATAACTAACCAGCATGAACAATACTTGGAGCATCAATTAGAAGCAGACAGAAAACAAGAAAAACATAACGAAGAAATGAAACCAACGCAGAATCGCTTGGTGCAGCTTCAAGATCATCGACGAGAGCGACAGGAAGACCAGCAGGCCAAAATGAGTAGACAGTATGAACAGACGCAGCAACAGTTAACTCAAATGTTACATGAATACCACAAGGAAACACAGGCAATTCAGCAACAAATGCTGCAGAGCAACATAGATTATATTTTAACATTGAAGTGATTTCTTTTGATACATAACATTGTGCACAATTTATAGTTAATTTCAAATAGTGATATGTTTTGTATTTTCTTGAATTTTGTAAAGGTTTATGTAAAACTGTTTAGAGGTGAAATGTTTATTTATATGGCTAATTTACATTTCTTGAATCATTCTCATATATACCTTTTTTGTGCAGTTGTCATGTATACTTTTTACGTGCATACTCTTGATTGTACATATTAGATTTTTTCCCCTAGATTCCCTCATCTGTTTCTACTTTTGTTTTTCTCTTCCTGCCTCTCTCTCTCTCTCTTTCAATTTTTCTA